AGATCTGGCCTGCAACTGAGAAATTCCCAGACCATCCAGGAGTTGACAAAGATGACACACGTACAGACGTACATACTTGTATGAATCGTGAATAATATATGTGCACAGTGTAAGTAATAAAAGTCATACCTCCACTGGAAGCTTGTGTTCCTGCCAGAACAAAACAAAACAAAACAAAATCAAGATAGATAGAGAGAAAGAATACATTGATTTTACATATGGCTTATCTCGTTAGAGGATAGTAATTCAAGTAAATTAGACTTATTAACCATGCATGAAAGCAAGTCAGAGTAACCCATTTTTGGCTCCACCCAATTTCTGACCTTGTGCACGTAAAATATAAAATTATAGATTCACTGGTATAAAATGCATACCAGTCCGTCTTACAACAGTTATCAGAATTTATTAAATTAACTCCACTGGAAAATTGCAGTTGAACCTGGCGTTATTTGAACCAAACTTGAACAACAAAAGGCAATTACAGTACCAAACTATTTAGTTTGAAAAAAAAAAAAGACGCACAAATATCAATAAGCTCCACACATTTCAATGACGTGGATATACTAATGTTGTCGTGGGTCACGACCGCACAAATAACTTGAAAACCTGTCGAAACTGGCTTTGAATGAATGGCTTAGTCAATTGGATATTCAGATCCCAATCAAACTTCAAGAGTTTGATTGTGTTTGACTGCATAAAGGTTTGATTACTGAACACTTGATTGTGTTCAATTGGCTAGATTTTCAAGTCAGTTTGATTGTGTTCGATTGATTGCCGAACCAAGTCAACATCAATTCAACGACTGAAGTCAGTTTATTGGGTTTGATTACCAAACATTTGATCGATTTTAATGCAGCAGGTATAAACTGCATGTATTGATTAAAGGAGCTTAGCCACGGCATTTTGAGTTATTTTGGCCATGTACAAAATTAACTTTAAATTGAAGGAAACCTGAAAATAACTGTTTACTAAGATAGCAAAACACCAAAGAAATAACAAAATTAAACCATAAAAGAACCGAGGAGGGCTGAGTATGGAGAAGATTAACGCAGATTGCAAACAAAGAACTTGAAAAATTCAGGCTAAACTTTTCAAGAGGTACAAACCGTGACGTAGCTTCTTTAATATAAATTGGCAATTTTACTGTACATCTACATGTATATCCCAAAAGGGAACTTAACCTAGATGTCCATGTATTCTTCGCGGAAATTTTTTTTCCTTTCTTTTATAACTAAAAATGTGCACACCACAAACCTAATAAGATTTCCTCAGTAATCAGATAGGCCCAATACCGATCGCGACAGTGATCTACTTCCTGAATTTCACGTGAACAGTGTCATGAAAGATCTAGGGCAATTTTCTTGGAATTTCTAAAATGGGTAGTCGCGGTTAAGGAACTAAATTTCATATCTTTGCGCTATCGATTTCCCAGTTAATTCTCAGACTAGCCCGCGGTTTCGCGAAACAAAAACCAATTTAAAAACAAAAAAGCGGTTTACGTGTTTCGTATGGTCTCACTGGTAAATAATCGGCTGTGGTTATGTGACCGGTAGCCGGTCATTCAGATAGTACGATTTCTAAACGCGAGAACTCAAAAGTGAATGCGAACGAAGGATTGCGTCTTTGTTTCCCTGTTTTCGATGTTCTTTATATTCAACTGTAAAAGTTTTCCTTCAGCAATTATTCGCTTCAGGGATAGTTTACATTGGTGAATATTTACTTCGACTCCGTCTCGGTACAATAATCGTAAAAGCTGTACTTGTGGTAATCAACATGCAAATCTCCGTGCATTTATACATATATTTTTGTAATCGCCCTGCTGAGGAGGCAAGTACGTCTGAACGTCTCGATCTCGCATTTTGAAAAGATAAAAATGTCTCAAGCTCGAGAAGAAAAACCGTAGTCTCGCCTTTTCGCAAAGTCTCGCATTTATCATTCACAGTGTACCTAGTTCTAGAAGCGCCGTAACAGATTGTCAAGTGTAAGCCAGGATTCCTTTCATGGCGTATATCTCTATAATTGGAATGGTATATATTATACTAAATAATGCTGTCATGGTACTTAACACGATAAAGACTTACTTGTTATAAGTGTACCTTGAAGAAAAACAAGCTCAAGAATCAGGATGGAAAACAAGCTGCCAGAATTAGAGATATCCATTCTTCTGGGAGAATAAGACATCGATGATTTCCTCCAGCTAGACGGTGTAAATATATACAGTTGATAACGTATCCCGGCACGTTATATGCCTACTACGGATCAATGTTTGGACTTCCTGCTTTAATGAAGCAAGCAGTTGAAAATGTTATGTCGCGGATGACTTGTCTTAAAAGTGTCACATAGCTCTCAAACATAAACTTAAACGTGAACGTAGGTGGACTGTTTCCGTCAGCACAAAGGTGAAAGTTGAATATTGTGGTTGGCTAGGGGGGTTTTCAAAGATTGTTCGGCAATTTCAGTTTCTAGTCTCCTTTCTTTGGCGTGAATGCTTTTATTTTGCATAATCTT